AGAAATGTATCAATTGGAATTCCTTTCTCAATATAACTTACTTTACCTATATTAAGAACTAAGAAGTATTAACTGAAGAAGGTACTAAACGAGAGGAAATTGGAAATAAGCTAGGTGGTTGATGTAGATATAGTGACAGATATATATATATATATATATTTAAATTCATTAATTATATGAACAGATAAATACAGAGAAATATTTAATATGATTGAAGAACAATAACTAACCCCGAAGGATTTTTTTCGATTAGATACGGGGGAGGAAGATGGAGAGGAGGATATCGTCTTGTTGATCATTTTGGAGGCTATCGTTGATGTCCATTTTAACATTTTGGCGTCGATTTCCTGCACCAGACCCTCCTCGACAGTTGAAGCACTAGGACTTACAGCAGAGACACATATATTTACATGAAATACTAGGAAGTCCAACAATAATTAGCTGCGGTCTTTAGTAGACAATCCCTTTACATTTTATAGCCAAAGAATAGATAAATATTAACGTCGCACATGATGAGGAAGAATTTGTTCTTCCTTTGTAGGCCAATAAGAACTTGGTTCTTTACTTAGCTGGGCTCTGCAGGGGGAAGAATTTGGTTCTTTTTTCTCTTTTCTGGACCCTGCATCATATAAGGTTTTGGTTGTTTTCCACAGGGTACAGGATTCACATTAATGCACGTGATTGTAATTATTATTATTATTTTAATTTGAATTTTGGTGTGTTTCTTCATTATTTTTATTTTTAACATTTTGGTTTCGAAACTAATTTATTTTGGATAAATAATATTGAAGTCAAAAGTTAGAAAATACAATATCTATGTAGAGATCTATAAACTTAGTAAGTATTTTTCTTGAATTTAAGGTGATACTTTTCGTATATGTTTTTTTGCAACCAATAAGTGATATCAAAGGAGATGGATGATAAGAATTTGGGTGAAGGATTGCAAAGTGTGGTGAGGCGAAGTCCATGGAGGAAAAGACAGATTCAGACTCACGGTCGAACCAGATTCACACAATAACAAGTGATATAAAACAGAGGACTCAAGGGTGCCTAAGTCTCCAGCAGCATATATACCAGTAGTATTGAAACACCATGATGTTAATCCTTTATAAAACAAGAATCTAAAGTCGAAAACCAGGATAACAAGTACCTCTGACAGGACTTTGCCATCAAAAGGCATTGAGTTCCAGGAACTACCAAAAGTAACTAGGAATGTAAATATTGTTCGAAGGAAGCATATTATTTCACGATAGGATTAACGAAAGGAAAATGATGGGTGCACACCTGGATCCCACACCCGAGTGTGCATCCCCATATAAACAAAAAAAAAAAATACCCATCACCTGGTCTAATTTTTTTTTTTACGTGGGGGTGCACACCCAGATGTGGGATTCGGATGTGCACCAACCATGGTCCTAAAATAACCACTTTTCTCCCAATGGTGATGGTAGTACAAATAATAGGACAACATAATTTGTTGCTAAAGGGGATGAAATTACAGGATGATTGATCTTATTATAAAAAGAAAAAAGAAGCGGTTCTAATTCTTGAAATCAATCAATTTGATTTCCTCATAATTGATGAATTCTCATAACAGTGTGATATTACCTCCTTCAACAACTGAATCAATCATTACATAATTTGATCATCTTCTTTTTTCCTTATATAATAAGATAAATCATCTTGTGATTCGATCTTCTTTAGTTGCAGACCACACTACATATATTCTTTTAGTTTTGTAAGGTAATGACAGCATGAATGCTTCTGGGTATGACTCCTGCAACTGTCAGCAGGAGATTGAGCCAGACTTCGGACTGTTTTTTGCAAAACAAATACAGATCTGGTCAGTAACTCTATCAAATTAATTTCAATCTAACAAAAAGAGTAAAATATGATATGGATTAAAGAGGATGAGAATTAGTTTAAAATTTATTTTCCAATGTCAGAAATTAAGATGGGATTAATGGAGAGTGACTTACCCCGCATGATCCAGTTCGATTATATACCGCAACTGGAGGCAGGAATATGGCTAGGAAGAAGTCGCAGATGCCTGCAGGTTTCTGTTGATTTCCTGCTGCTGAGATGTTAAAGCAATCACATCCACAGCAGATACACATGTTTAACCGGCCGGAGTAGATATATACTGAACTGTCTGTGGGTTTTTATGAAGGCCGAAATTAGTTACACCTAAATTTATAGCCCGAGTTCGCTCCCTTTTAGTTAAATATGTGTGTTTTTGTTTTTATTTTTTTATTTATTTATTTTGGGGAATGGGGCTTTGCACTAGTTAACTTCTAGAAAGACGATCAGACATGTGAAGAACTCGGGAATATTTCTTTATGAGAAATTCTCGAAAACTTTATTCCATAATTGAG